CCACGAGATGCAGCCCAGTGTCAAAGCACACAGCAGGCCCCATGAGCAGTTACATCACAGCACAGCGTAGCACGTCACTGCCAACGGCCAAGGTCAGCCCACATTCCAGATCCACTCAGGGAGCAGGGAATGTCCCATCCTTGCTGTCCTTCCTTCCACATCCTCCTTCACAGAATCATAGAACCATCAGGGTTGGAGGAGACCTCTGAGTCCAACCCTTAACCTGTCACTGCTGTCACTCCTAAACCATCTCCTCCAGCACCAGATCCAGACTCCTCCTGGGATGGTGACTCCTCCACCTCCCTGGGCAACATTCCAGTGCCTAAACACCCTAACAGTGAAAATATTTTTCCTAATATCTAATCTGAATTCAGCTCTGAAACAACTGCATCTTTGGGTGTAACAAGAGGGAGAAACAACAATCTTCTACCACAGCCTCCCCCAGTCCCCGTGTGTCACTGCCTTGTTCCCATCTCAGCCAGACTTCTGTTGTGCATTTTGTTTCATTCTCTTTGAGGAGACTTTTCTCCACACGTAATTGGCTTGGCAACCTCGACAATACTTCAGGAGACAAAGCAATTTCTCCTCTCAGAAGCTTTTTGCCATTCTGTGTAGGTGTCATTAAATCTGATTTCTCCTTTCACTTATCTTGGATTTGTCACATTTTCAACATCCTCTTAGTTCTGCAGATAAACATCAGGTTTATCTCTGAACTGCAGCTCTTACTCAGGTGCCACCCTCATAAATCCTCCTATCAGATCCACAAGTACAAGCACACATATTTGTAAGCACAGTTGAAGAATGCATGACCTGCTTGGAAAGACAAGTATTTTGGTTCCTAAGAAAGTGACACTTTGCCTATCCAGCCTGGATTTAATTATCTCTTGGGTGGGTGTGAACACCTGGAAGTCACTTCAGAAAGAAACCAGAACAAAGTCTAGGAGTGATCAGTGTAAGAGAAGCCTCAGGTTTATGTCACTATTATCTTTACCTGCTTTATTTACACATAATAATTCTATTTATGGTTACCAGAATTACCTCAAGAGCAAGAACATCTCGATCCTTGCCAGGCTGTTACCTTTGCTCCCTGAGCAAGAGAACTACAGAGCTCACACTGCCCAGACAGTGTGAACTGGGTGGCAGAGCAGCACTTGGCTGGCACCTGAGGGTCTTGTGACAGCACAGATGACTGAGCTTTGTTAGGCAAATTCGTGAATGAAAGGGCTATAAATTGATACTGGAAGGAGTAGCCAAGGATGCACTGGGCAAGCACTGGCACAGCACTGCTGCCTGCTGGGGCTGGGGACAAGGGGAACAGGGTACAGGACTGGTGTGCTCTCCCTGGCACTGGGTGAGCCACTCAGTGTGGAACTCCTCACCAGTCTGCACCAAATTCTTCACCAGTCTGTGTGCCTGGGGTAGGTGAACTACTGAAGAGCTCCAGAAGTGATAGCATCCATGAAAACCATGCCAATTTAGCTAGGATCCTGGAGGTTTGGTCCACTGGGCTTCCTCTGCACTGTCAGCTTGGTCGTCCCACATTTTGGAGTGTTAGAATGGGCAGGATTCAACTAAGCACAAAATCACTCCCTCAGTCTCTCTCTTCCCTCTTCCACCTTGGCTCTGCTCGCCACTTGCTGCTCTGCCACAATCACCCTTGCTCCAAGGTGGTCATTTTTAACTCAAAACCAGCTAAAATCTCTCACTCCAGAGAAAGGGATTTTAACATCGCTGATGTTTAAGGGGAAAAAATATGCCAACCCTGACAAACAACATATGCCAGCCCCAGAATTCTCAAAGGACTGGAATTGGACTCATTAGCAGAGGCCTGAGATTACATAATGGAGTGATCTTCTTCACTTTTGCCTGAATATGCACGTTGAAAAATGCCATCATTTGCAGCATTGTGTTCAGCTGAATAAACTCCGTGTTTGTGCAATCTGCAAATATTGGCTCTCCACAGTTGTGGTATTTGGTTTCTCAATCTCATTACCCCCTTTAGAATAATCTTGAATTGCGAAGGTATAATTTTTTGAACATACATCATGGAAATGGAATCTGTTTTCCCGTTAAAAATGGAAACAGCCTGAGATTTCAGCCCTGTTTGCAATTTGAGCAATGGAAGTTCCCTGCCAGAGCCACTGCAAGTTGTGCTGTGCATGGAGCAGGCCGAGGGAGGCTCTAATTTGTACCTCTGAAATCCTTCAGAAGGGATACAAGCTCCAGAGCTATAATTAATCCATTCTTCTAAAATTACCCCCAGAATTCAATCTGCCTGGCTGCAGAGAGCCACAGGGATCTTTTGTTGGACTAGTAATGTGAGCCAAGGAGATAATGGGGAGTGAGGTGCTGATAAAGGCAAGGTATGAGTGTGGCAGAAACAAACCTGACCCACTTCACGGCCTGAATGCTGATCAGCCACTTCTGACGTCAATGCATATTTTACTGTCCACCAGCAAGACAAACCAGCACTACAACCTCCTTCAAAATAACAGTCTCTGCTACCTGGGCTGCTTCACACACAGAGGCTTTGCCACCAGCATGGCCTGAGTGCTGCACACAGCTCCGAGGCAGTTCTGGGGCTGCAAGTAGAGAGCAGCTCATTATTCCATCCTCAAGGCCAGGCTGGATTTAACTGCCACAAGTGCACAGATGTTTCACTCACAATGAGCAAGTTGGATTCAGTGGCAGCTCAGTGTGTCAGTGATCAGGAACTGAAATCAGCCCCTCTGATCCCCTCAAGACCCAGCAAAAGGTGAAGGTGACACAACCAATCCAGCTCTCCATGGGAAGAACCAGCAAGGTTTACCTTGCCAGTGCTAAACTAAGCAAATTCAGTGTCAAACCTCTTCCTGCTGCAACCTTCTCAGGAGATGTTTGATCCCTTTAAAACCTTCATTTTTAGTACTTCTGCTAAAACTTGAGGGTTTTGCTCCTAACCACTGGGACATCACTCCCAAAGCTCACACCTCAAGGTCTTTACACAGCCTCTGTTTCTTGCCCAGTTACTAAGACTGAATGATCTTTTGAACTCTATCTATGCCTTTCCTTTCAGAGCAGTATGAACACTAACTATTTCAATCCAGACTCCTTGTTCAGGTCTCAAGGGTGACACTGTCAGCAGCTCACAGTTTTAGGGTCTTATTTTTCAATCACAGTCTATTCTCCTGCTGGGTGAAATACAGAGGTAACTTTATGCATGTTTTGGTATCTGACTAAACATTATCATATTGTAAAAGCTTCAGCAAAACTCTTAGCAGCATCAGAGTGAATCAAGAGGTGCATTGGAAGTTGGGAATAGCCTGGAATGGCTGTGAGTATATCCCTGTGGGTATTTCATAGTGCAAGGGAGAGCCTCATGCAGTGCTGGGGCCCAGTGCAAACACTGACAGTGCAGAGCTGGAGCACAGGAACTCATCAGTTACTGTGCTGATTTTCAATTCTTAGAGTAATTCCAATTAGAGGCTAATTCCAGCTCTCTGAGCTGGGATCCTGCCTGCCCTCTGCTCTTCCACAGCTTGACAAATGAGCTGTGAGGAATATCAATGACTGGCAGAGGCTGTTCCCAGGGATGTGCAGAGCACCAGGTACCTCCCAAAGCACAGAGAGATGTCCTGTGAATTCATCAGCTCCTTTACAGGAAAAAATCAACTGACTCAGCACAAAGCACCACAAAGTCCTTAGCATACCCTTAGCTTTCCTCCAGCTACTTTCCCAGCCAAGCTGGACATGGGAATTGCCATCAGTCTGATAAAGCTTTGACAAAGAGCCATGGAAGAAATCAGTGCCAGTTAATGTGATCATTTGCATACAGACCACCTGTAATTAACTCTCTGTAACAGAGAAGTAGAGCATGAGAGCAGCTGAGACAAGGAGGAAGGAGACAGCAGCAGCTGATGGAATCTGGTGACTCCCATTTATCAGGGCTTTTACTTGAGTCCCTGGGGAACCTGAGCATTGAAATTCCCTGTGACAGAGCAGTTCATGGCTCTAACCTTTCTTTGCTTAACAGGTCCCCTGAGATGCCTTTGAAGGAGTGTTTGTGTGAGCCTGTGTCATGCTCACACTGCAGTGTTCAGGGGGGCAGGGACCCAGGAAAGGAATACCTCTGGGTACAGCTCTGTGCCAGCACAGCTGAGACCCCTGAGGAGCCCTGAAAAACTGTGCCAGGCTGAGCATGACAAGCTACAGAGCAGAACACTGATGTGGAGGGGGAGAAGTGAGAAGGCAGAGAATGTGCTGGTGAAAATGGGGAGAAGGTGAGGGAAGCTCAGGGGAAAAACAGCACAAAACCTTTCTTCCATTTAGTTCAGTTACTCAGAGCAAGTGGGTGACTTGCAGCCCTCAGACACACTGTTTACTGAAGGCATACATTGTCCTGGTCAATAAATTGTCTGTCAGCCATAAATCTGATTGCTCTGGGTCAAATCTGGTGCTCTGACAACTGAGAGCTGCTGGAGAGAAATGCAAGTCTGAAAGGAGGAAAGGAAAAACCCTCCACAAATGGGAGTGCTGATGAACCCACCAGGCTCAATGAGGTATCAAAGCCCTTTCACCATATCAGAAGGGCCAGGAAGGAAGTGAAAGGGTAAAATAATCCAGCAATGATCAGAAATGTTTTGTCACTTTACTTTTCTCAGCCTGACTGGCTGTGGAGTCACTTCCTTCCCAGAACAGGCAACCTCACTGCTTCAAAACCAGCTGCTGGCTGCTCTCAGCCTGCCCTTGCTGCTCCTGTGGCAGTGATGTCTTGAGTTCAACAGGCCCCAAATCCATACATCACCTCCCCAAACCAAGATATTCCCTACTTCTCCCATTTCCAGTCTCACTGGGCTGAAATCAGCATGGAAGGATTGGTGGAATTGGAATGAAAATGATTTCCATTGCTAGCAACATCTGCTGTGTCTAAATTTATAATTAAAATGAAATCATGCATGCAAAAAGCAAAAGAAATCAATAAGCTTCCATTTGAGTTTTCCTTCTGTTGAGAGAAGTTATTTGATGAACTCTGCTTTAACCCCAACATCTGGCAGCATCACAGACGTGTTGTGACACCCACAAGAAATGTCTGCAACTCTACAAATTATTCCCTCTTTTTTTTTCCTTGAAAGTATAATGAAGCTAATGTAAGAAATATTTTAGCTACATGCACTGTGCTGTCCATCACTTATCACCATAAGTATCACCACTGGGACTTAAGCAAAACAGGATGTCTTGGGCAGCAGCAGCAGCTGAATTACCAGAGGAACCTTCACAAAAAGGTCTTGTTGGATCTCGTCTGCATTTACCTGCTATTTTGATGTTCATGTTGTTGTCAAGCAGCAGATTTTCAGCCTTCAGGTCACGGTGCACAATCTTCCTGCCATGGCAATACTCCACTGCAGACAGGATCTGCCAGAACTTACGCCTGGCCTCGGACTCGCTCAGGCGGCCGTGGCTGGCCAGGTAGTCTGTGGAGAGAAACCAGGGGCAGCAAGGGACAGCCTCAAATGGCATGGTTGTTATCCTGGGCTGCACTGGGAAGGGCAAGGCAGGTGATCCTGCCCCTCTGCTCAGCCCTCCTGAGGCACATCTGGAGTGTTGTGTTGTGTTCTGGGGCCTCAGGACCAGAGGGACATGGAGCTCCTGGAGCAGCTCCAGAGTGCTGTGTCCAGTTCTGGCTCCTCAGGACCAGAGGGACATGGAGCTCCTGGAGCAGCCTCAGAGTGCTTTGCCCAGTTCTAGACTCCTCAATACTAGAGAGACATGGAGCTCCATAAGTTTCATTTATCCTCAGGAGCAAACCCAGGGGAGCAGCAGCTCTGTGAGTCTTAGCAGAAACAGCTTCTAGAGCCAATTCTATCTCTTAGGAGCATCAGATCAAAGAATGAGCTGCCAGGATGGGTTTAGGATGACCTTCAGCATGCTACAAAGAATGTAGGGAATGGCCAAGGAGCAGCAAATGATTATAGATTCTGTACCCAGTGATCAATCATCTGTTCTGAGGTGGTTGTATGCTCCAAGCAGAATCACCTTCCCAGCACAACTCCCCAGCAGGAGACCTGCCTTTGTCAGCTTGTGTTTTGTGGCATTTTGTAGTAAAATACGACGGTATTTTCATTTAAACTTTTCTTTCTTTACGATCAAATCTGATCTCTGGGACCTGCAGACCTGGAAACTCTCCTCAGAGCTTCTAACCTACCCAAGGCTTCAAACGCTTTCATCTGGTTTAACTTGGCACAGCACAAGAACAAACACACGCCTGGCAGTGAGGGGAGATCACAATATTTGCAAGCTAAATATCATTCAGTCACAAAGTGACTGACAAATCATATGATATCAAGGTGAAGTCAGATATCAAAGGCACAAACTAAATTACCCTGAGCATGAGCCAGCCCAGGGAGCTGTTAATCCAGCGTTTGTTAGCAGTGCAGCACACACCAATGAATCCAAGCTGTCCTTTGCTCCATGGCTTTGGCCTGTCAGGGTTTATTTAAAGGTTCCAAACCACCTTGGCCACTTGAGGATTCCACCAGGTCTCGCAGCCTGCGTGGAACAGGTCATTTATGCTGCAATCACCACTCTCTGTGCTGGAGGAGCAGAACACACCATGTCTCACTAAGGGCTGGATCCTGTTTGTGCATTAACCAGAGTGCAAATAGGAAAGGCTGGGAATGGGATGCAGGCAGTGTGCCAGTCCCTGGGCACAGAAACCACTTCAAGACAGCAGAAATGAGGGGCACTGAGAATGTGGACACCAGCTGGACTCTGTTCCTCCTCCCCAGACATAGAGAGTGGCAAATCCATACACAGCAGAATGTCCTCAGTTACAAAAGCCACTCAGAAATCACTCTAACAATCAGGAAAAAGAATGAATTGAGAAAAAAACTGGATAGAAATAAGAAGTCTCAAATAATAGACCCCAAAAGATCCTTAGCTGCACAGAGACCAACATGCATTCAGATGCTGAACATGAAATGATTCTCTTCTTACCGAAAATTTCTCCATTTTTGGCAAATTCTGTCACAAGGTACAACATGCTTTTGGTCTCCATCACCTGTTGATGGAGAAATCACACATGAGATTGCTTGTGGGAAGAGCACAAAGCAGACAAACACCCAAGTGGAGCCTCATTTTCATGGTTCTCTTCTGCTAAAGGTATGAAAGTCTTTGCCTTGCTCCAGAATGGAAAGATTCACTGAAAGTGACAAGTCCTCCACTTCAAAAAGTCATTTTGGACTTGCCTTCAGTACAGCACAACAATTTCAACACATTTTGGGCCTATTCAGCTACCTCAGTACAACAGTTCAGCATCAGCTGCCTGTGGACAAGACCTTGGTGGATTGGATATTTGCATTTTATCTGGGCACAAGCTTGAGAGCACCAGAGGAACTGATCAAACAAGCTCCTTTCAGAGGGCAAATCCTGAAAGATACAGTGAGAAACCAGCAGAACTACCAGAGAACAAGACAAGGAGGTGGAAGTTCTTCAGCTCCTCCTGCACCTTTGTTTAAAGCAGCTGAGCAGATCCTGACTGCAATGTCTGTATCAAACCAGTTTGGAAAGTGTTTTGAACCAGCCTTTGGAGGCAGGAAGCTGCCACAGCTTGGGGATTACATGGATATGGATCCATTCTAAATCTCACCATTACCCAGCTCTGACAATCCTCAGTGGCTCCTTGGCATGAGCCAATTCAGCACCTCACAGTGCAGTGACCAGTGAGACAACCTCAGGGCTGTTTTAGCAATAAACTCCTCTATCCCAGTGCACCTTTCACCAGCCAATCCCCCAGCAGTGATGGGCTAAGCACCACAGAACAATTCCCCTCTCTGCCAGTGTTCTCCAGTCACTGAGCTGTTCTCAGACTCTGCCCTACCATTTCTGTGTGTTGTCCATCATTCAGAAGGAACTGTGGGAGATATTGCTCAAACTGGTTAGCAATTTAACTCCCTAACATCACTTCTACTTGGGGAGTGAGTGTTTTAAAGCTGAAGGGCCAGTCTCTTTCCAGAGGATGAAATTAAAGCTAAACTAGTCTGAACTGGGATCTTCACCTTTATTCAGCACAGGTCCCAGTCCTTGTGCTCAGTTTGCCTTTAGAGACATCATCAGGTCCAAGTCCTTGTGCTCATTTGCCTTTAGAGACATCATCAGATGAACTTAAATTCAATGTTCTAGCATAAAGAAATCACCATGTGCCTGCTGAGTCAGGAGTATTTGAGACAAGAGTGTGTGTCTCTGTTTGTTAAACACTAACAAGGAGATCCCAGAGGGAATATCCTCAGGAAAGCCTTGAAGGCAAGAGTTAAATAAAGCAGCAATGCCAACAACCTCCAACTTTTTGCCTTATGCCAGCAGGAACAGAGAATGGAGCAGAAGAGACACAATATAAACCAAACCTACATTTAAAACTATGTGTACTGAAAAAAAAAAAAAAAAGAAGGCATAATTAAAAACCTTCAAGAGTTTTCCTTGTCTGAAGAATTCAGCCAGGAGCAAAAGAGATGGGGGAGAAGGGGGAAAAGCCACCACTGCCCCTACCTGGTAGAGCTTTATGATGTGTGGGTGATCAAGCATCTTCATTATCTGCACTTCCCTGTAGATCTTCTCCAGATTCACAGCATCCAGCTGAGACTTGTCAATGATTTTTATTGCCACCTGCAGACAAAGTGCAAAAGTGAGATTCAAACTCCCCAACGAGTCCCTCATTAGTTTATCCTCATTAGAAAAGGAATAATGCAAGCCCAGAGAACTGGAGGCTTTCCCAGGGTTCAGGAATACTAATGCCACACTCCAAAATGCAGCAGGACAGCACTGAACGTGTCAGGAGTCTCAGTAAGTGGCTGCAGGACTATTACCCACAGCAGCATGGCAGAAAAAGCAAGTTTTCCATGGAATGGAGCCACAGAACAGGGCAGGGAGGTCACTGCTCCAGGTGCACAATGTCCTGTGTCAGCAGCAGGTGGGAACAGTGGCAAAAGGTGTTCAGAAGCCTAATGTGTCCATTGCTGGAGTCAGTTTAAATCCCACAAGTGCAAAATGGTATTTTAAAGTGAGCAGAACTGTTGGCTCGACACAAATAGCCAAACTGAGGAGGATCCATGTAGGCTCAACATGTTCAACTGTAATGAATATGCTGCTCCAAAAGGACATCTGCAGGTCATCCCTTCAGAGGAGAAACTATGGATACATTTAGCAAACCACAGAGAGAAATTTTTTTCTAATGTATAACATCTACATAATTGTAGAGATAATTATACCTAATATCTCAATTAATCTAGAAAACAGATCGTGGTCCTATTGACCTTGTTTTCAGCCAGTCCCTGCAAAGGGAAGGTAACATGTTAGGAGCCTAAAGAGCTCAAAGCCAAGACATGGAAAAAGCAAATCTAAACCAAAAAGAAAGTAAAACGTTGCCACTGTAAAAACCATAACAACACCAAAGAGCACTGAGTTATCCCTGGTGTTTATCCGCCCTGACTATCACATTATTAATGCTGAAGCAGGAGCAAACAATATAAGTCACACAAATGCTTCCAATTATAACAGCATTTCACAAACTGCTGAACATGGGAGACAGCTGCTGTGCAGGAGACAGGAATCCACGGGAGGTGAACCTCATTATCTGCACCAACACTGATTATGGACCCACCTGAATTCACAATTAACTACTTATTGACTCGTCTCAGGCTGCTCTTGCTTGATAACCTCTTTAAAAGTCACTTGTCTTCCCCAACCACCAGAAAAATAAGATTTTGCTCTGAGAGAACGAACTGTAATCAGGGGAAATTTAGGTTTGCTTGTAAGATGCAGCAGGCACTGAGAGAGCTGCAGCAGAACAACACTGTTAGCCAAAGCAAACACACAAAAACTTTCTTCAGAAGAGAAGTGTGGGACTAGTTTTTAAACAACGTCTACAAAACTTAGGCAATGTCTTTTAAATCACATAGGACTCACTAAACCAGTTTTATCAAAACCCATTTATGGGGATACTGCTATGTCCAGTCATTAAAACAAGCAAAAAAGATTCACATCCTACAGCATTTAGACCACGAATGACAAGTTATTCCACAGCCTTTACTGTTCAGAGCAGGAAGCTGAGGAGCACAGGGAACAGAGATGCTCAGGGAATGGTGATGCTCAGGGAACAGAGATGCTCAGGGTGGCAAATCCCATAGAATGCCAAGTCTCCCTTTGAAGGTTTCTGTGTTTTCACTATGAAGACACAAACCATACAAACCAAATATGTGAATCACCTCCTTCTGCTTCTATTTGTTCTCCCTTTCCTTCCAGCCACACTTGGGGTTTGTACAGACCTTGGAAATATAACCTTGGTAGGAATCAAATGTGAGCAATGCCATGTGGCAGCAGAGGATGCAAACACTCAGCCATGAGCTTCAGCACAAAGCAGCACTCAGGCACACACCTCTCAGTCTCCCTGGCCTGCTTTGAGCTCACACCTCATAAAATGACTCCTGGTTATTGTTGATTTTTTGCAGGCACATTTCTAAGCCTACCCAGAAATCACTTCCCTAGAAAGCTACAGAGTGTCAAAGCAATCACAACAAACCACCAAACCCAGACCCAATCCTCAGACATCAGGAAATGTTTATTGCAAACAACATGTGTCACTTTTCTGCCCTTCCTCTAAGCCGTTTTGCACACTCTCTGCAATCAACCAGAGGCACAAACTGGTTTCTCCTTCCTTCTCCACACCTCTCCCAGTTTGTAGCTGTTACTTGGGTGACCTCCAGATTCCAGAGGACTGGAGCCCATGGTTTATTTACCCCCCAATGAAAGGATTCAATCTGACATTCCTATCACAGAGTGGTAATGCATCTCCCACTCCAGGTATCTCCAGTCTGGGAGATAAAGAACTCCAGAGATCTCAGGCATTATCCTCAGTGCTGCAGTTCTCAGCTCCTACAGCCACAGAGAGTTCAGCAGTTCTTAACTTGGGTTTCCCAGATAACAAAAGTATCCATTTCCCCAGAAAAACCAAGATAACTCATCTGTCCTTCTTCAGTTTGAAAGATGAATTACTTCCAATTCCACTTCAGTTTGTGCCTACTGCAGCTTTATGTTTCCCAGGGTTAATCAGACTCTGCAGCTATGTAATCATGGCAGTTACTCAGAAGTCATTTCATACAACTAAATAAAAATAAGCATTTTTCATCTTTACATAGTTAAAATCCTCGAGCAGCTCTTACTTCCTGAGTAAACTGGGATTGGAGGAAAGCAGCACAGAAAAAAAGAGTAACAAAGAGAGAACGGGTGATATAAATTTGGGAATCATAGCTGCAGATCCTGCTGTAACCTCCACTGCACTTTCTGGCCAAGAACAGTGAATCATGTTCCAATGTTTCCTACTTTCTTCCTTTTCCAGAAGTTTCCCCTCCTATCTCCTTGCCGCATACGCTTAAAATGAAACAACTCTCAAAGGCTGTTGAGAGACAGAAACCAAAACCTTCTGCAAGAGAACAAGTCTCCAGCTCACTCACAGCTCCAGAAAAATCCTCTTTGCCTAGTTCTGCAGCATTTCCTTAGCTCCCCATGCCACGGATAGAAGGGTGTGTAGATGTAGAGCGGGTCACAGGAGGTTAACACTGCATGGGAGTACCCAGTAACGTCCTACATTGTCTGCACAAACACTCCCTGAGTTATAAACCCTGACATCCATCCCTGGTGCATCAGGGGCTCGAGTGCTCCCATGAAGATACCACCAGAGAGTCCTGACAGCATCACAAAATGCTCTGTGTTAGCACTGAGCTCTGCAGGCAGCCACGGGGCTTGAAAACTTACACAGGACTTTGCAAATGTTGGAACACATTGTGTGGGAGCAGAGTGGAACAAGCAGTGTCTCTATGAGCTCCCTGGCATCGTATTCAAAGCTGCATCACATCTGTAATCTGTAAAAAACCCCAAACTAGACCTGAGCTACCTCCCTCACTCGACAGCCACCACCACTGGACTCAGAAAGGCATAGGGTATGTACCCACAGATACCAGTTTAAATAGATTTGTAGCTTAAAACCCACCACAAACATCAAATCATGTCCTGTCTTACGATGTGGAGTTACTTGGGACTATTAAGCAGTTGGTTTTGGACATAGAGTAAAAGGTTACTGAAGGAAAACACTTTGCTCTTTGCAATCCTTGCACAACTCTCAGTGTGTATATTCTATATGGGCACAATGTGTCTGTTAGATATGTGCAGCTTCCAGAGGAGAAGCAGCACAGCAGCAGCTTCCACCTCTGCTGCCACCTCAGATGCAGATTAGACATCTCCCTCTGTTCTGCATCTTCAGCTTTCACTCATCTTCCCAGGACCAGAGGAGATTTAGAGAAGAACCACTTGGAAATGCTTAAACCCCAGCAATATCTTCCTAATCCTAGAATCAACCTGGTTGGAAAAGAACTCCAGGATCATCAATCCAACCCTACTGTGGTCACCAGACCATGGCACTAAGTGCCACATCCAGGCTCAGCTTGAAAACCTCCAGGGATGGTGAATCCACCACCTCCTTGGGCAGCACATTCCAATGTCTGAGCACTCTCTCTGGAAAAAATCTCTTCCTAAGATCCAACCTAACCCTCCCCTGGCAGAGCTTGAGTCTATGCCCTCTTGTCCTGCTGCTGGTTGCCTGGGAGAAGAGACCAACCCCCACCTGACTCCAACCTCCTGTCAGGGAGTTGCAGAGGGTGAGAAGGTCTCCCCTGAGCCTCCTCTTCTCCAGGCTGAACACCCCCAGCTCCCTCAGCCTCTCCTCATGCCACTTGTGCTCCAATCCCTTCCCCAGCCTCATTGCTCCTCTCTGAACCCAATGTCCATGTGATGTGAGAGGGAACTGCATTCAGCAGCAGCAACTCGTGGCCCTGAGCTCAGCTGTGTCATGATGACAGGAAAAAGGGAAGCAATTCTTAGAGGTGGCGAAGCTCCTTCAAGCCATGGAACAGTTTCCTAAGTGAAAAGTGTGTTTTGTTCCTAAATATTGCCAACTACTACTAGCAACAACTAGAAACAAACAAAACCATCCCGGATATCAATCTATAATGTTAGTACATTAGTTAGGAAAACACAAAGGGAATCCTGTTCCTTCCCTTGTTTTCCCCTATCACCAGTTTTTGCTGCTTGAAGAGTTACAGTCCAAAATATCTTTGCAACTCGCATGATTTCTTCTAATGAAAGTAGCACTTATTTCCTTCCCTCTTAGGAAAGGCCTAGAGAACTGGAGCTGGGAATTGCAATTCCAAGCAGTGAAGGCAAAATGCATGTCAAAAAAAAAAGGATGAAAGCTCAACTCTTCAGCGACTTTCAGTTTTCATTGTTTTTGTGTTGTTCATTTCACTCTTCAAAGGAAAACCAATGCAAAGAACCAACACCCAAACCACAGCACAACCCCCCAACAGGTTCACCTGCAAACAGAGGTTTGTCCCTGCCAGGGAAGGTTTCAGGGAGGTCACAGAAATGCACATTTGAGTCGGTAACCACATTCTTACAACAGACAAACTGCATTAAAATCAACTAACACAACTTCCTGCAATCTGGAGCAACTCCAGACTGTACCAACAACGTCTTGGGACAGCACAGATGTGTCAAAGCATTACCTCCCTCAGGGTGAAGCACTTGATGCTCAACCTGAGCCATGTATGAGCTCC